CTTTCTATCTTTCTATCTTTCTATCTTTCTATCTTTCTATCTTTCTTTCTATCTTTCTATCTTTCTATCTTTTTATCTTTCTATCTTTCTTTATCTTTTTAAAGTAGACAGTATATTGTTTGAGGGACAGAAAGGTTTTACATTCAGTCTCACTATTATGTGAAAGTAATCCTTCTTCTCAACTCACAGTCTTGGAATCAAAAACTGGCTTTTTTATATTTCTAACTTCCTCTTGAGAAGTGGCTAGATCATTGCTATTGAGAGATATCCACTTCTAGGAAGAAGATTCACAGAGAATTATAAACTAGTTTGTTGGCATCCTGCTTTTTAAAAAACCTAGTCATGAAGCACACATTTGTGGGAAAACTGTCTTTTTCTATTAAATAAACAAACTTCTAACCTTGTACCTTTTGACAATTTCCTCATTTGTATATTTGTCAATGTTCCATATGTACTTTAGTATATCCTTTTAGCTCACTAGGCATATGAAAATTAACATTTCATTTTAACCCTTTGGATCATCAATAATATATAACAGAGCATTTAAACACAGACAGACAGCCCCCTACTTGCAAACTTTCATGTTGCAAACTTTCACCGTTATGAACAGGATGGGCCCGGAAGTCAGAACCGGAAGTTGGGCCAGAAGTTGGAACCGGAAGGCGGGAGAAGGTGGAAAAGGGTTAGTTTGGAGTGTGCCACAAACCAACCCATTCCCACCTTCTCCAGCATTCTGTTTGCATTTGAGGTTTGCATTGGAGTTGGAGTTCCCAGAAAAGGTTAGTTTACATGGCACACTCCACTGCTGGGTGAGTCAGGAGAGAGGGTGGTGGCAGAGAACAGGGGGGAAGGGGCGGAAGTCTCCTGCCTCGCCTGGCAATGGAGCATGCTGTGCCCCACCATCTCATCCTTTGCTCCCCTCTCCTGCGCTACCACCCCCTCTCCTGCCTCACACAGCGATGCATTGGCAGCAGAAGATAGGGCTCCTTTGCCACACTGCTGCCCTGCCTCCACCTTTTTTTTTTTTTGCTTGTTGGACTTAGGAACAAAATGGACTTATCTGGGTCAAGGAAGAACATTCAAAGCCACAAGAAAGTTAATTAATTAGTAACAATTCATTTTATTAGAAAATCAGATCACTCAAATTAACTGTTTCCACAAATTTAGAACACTGATTTAAGCCTCCGTGATTTCTCAAGGAGAAGTTTGAAGAGATCCAAGATATATAGAACAGGAATTTACCCAGGGCAAACAGGATCTCTAAATAGAAGTTCAAGCTGAACTTGAATCTTTGAAAACAATCTGAATCTGGTCCTTAGTAGAGAATAACTTCAGGGTTACGTAAATGTGCCCATCTATCACACAACATCCAAATCATTATCTTGTGTCAGAATTTCCCCAAAAACTAGCCCGTGAAAAGCTAGTTTGGGAAATATTATTTGAACACTAGTCTTCTGTTTCTGTGTCAAATATAGAAACTGAGAGAAATTCACTCTGCTTTAGAGCTTGGAGAAATCCAAAAAAGAGAACAGAGTTTCTTCTTCATCAATAGTTGGGAAATGCCAGAGGACTTGATACTGGGACAGCTTTCTCTTTGTGTTAATGATCTCATCATGTGTGTCCTTTCCAGTCAGTAAGAGCTGCCATAGTGGCAACCAAGCGTACTTGTTAGCTGTGCTTAACCAATCTGTGTGTTGACTACTCGTGGAATTTTCCTCTTCACTAGCTGCTTACATAATATATTAGAAAAAATATCTTTCCTTTAACTTTTATTGTGTCTAGTTGTCATATACTTTATATATGATTTATATATAATTTATATATGATTCATATGCTTTAGTTTTGAGACACACACTGTTGGAAAAATGTCTTGCATATCAGTGTATGTAATAGGTAAAGAACAATGACCCTAGCATTTAGTCTGTGCATTAATAATAGGATACTAAAAAAAAGCTCTAATTACATTGGCTTGTTCCCCTGAATGTGCTTTTTGAATATTGAAAGGTCAGCAAATAACTTATTTTGATCAGTGAAGAAATTGAATACACCAGTGTTGAGACCACTTTCCTGAATAATGAATGAAAGGAAAGAGCTTATTGGCTTGACTGCATTGAGTGAATCTAATAGGAAAGACCATTTAAAGTAGAGACACTGGTGAAATGTGTAATTTTGCCTACATATGCTGGAACAGAATAAATTAAAATAATTAAAATAATTAAAGAATAATGAAAAATTATTAGCTGATTGAAGGCATTATGGAAAACATCTCAGCCAGAATGGGTAATGTACTGGCACTGGAATGAGACTAATAATTTTAATTATCTCACTGATAGATTTAAATATATCTAGCTTATTTATGTCCCTTTATTAATATTTTCTTAATAATGGGAAATAGGTATTCTAATTTTGATTTTTTTTAAGAATCCGAAAGTCTAATATCCCCAAATTAGTTGAATCTCTATTTATTTAAAAAAACCTATATTTTTTTTGTTGTTCAACAAACTGAGAGTCTTCCAAGAATTAAAATGCCACCTTCCATTAACTTTTTTATCCAAACTCAGTAACATTATTGCTGGTGGATGATCAGAAATTAAAACTGAACCAAAATTACATTTCCCAATTAAATTAACCATAAAACGTGATACTGTACTAAACAATAATCCAGAAAGGCTTGAACATGGGGTAGGTAAAATAGGTTATATTTGCCTGTTAAATTAAACTGTCTTCAATTATCCAATAAGTTAAATTCCTGAATGCATGCATGGAGAACATTCTACCTTTGGGAGCTTTTTTCCCCCCGGATCCAAAATTAAATTAAAGCCCTCAGCAACTGTTAACTGAATAGTCTGTAGCCCAAAACAGCTTGCAAAACAATTGCATAAAATAAAAGTTTTATCTTTTGTTTATTTGTATTTGCACACAAATACTTCCATGCCATTTGGAACTATTAAAATTTTATAGAGCCCTTCAGAATCTGCAATCTCTTATTCAACTGTAAAATTAGAAGATATTTTAACTGAAATCACCTGGCAGATTTTGAGGTGCCATTTATATAAATCTACTCAATCCATTTTCTTTTCAGAAGATTTCTCATTCTTGAAAAAGACATCCAACTTCATCTGTGTCAGTTTATTAAAAAAATGACCTCCCTTTAGTTATTCCTCACAGCCCTTTAACAAGTCACAGTTGTTCTTATTTAAAACAAAATGAAACAGCCCACATACTATTTTTCAAAGAAGTGATGAGGCCAGATCCCCAGTCAGAATTGCAAAAAAGTTAAAATTAATATTTAAACAATGAGTCCTTGTTATTGAACTTACCTTATTCACCTTATTTTGGAGTCAGTGGTTAATAATTTCCTAAGTTGATGCTGCTCTTGCTTTTAGAATAACAAAGCATCTCTTATTTGTATACATTAATATACAGATATTAATATAAAAGATTATTAATGTGCTTTCCAGCTGAGAGTCTCCCCTTTCCATGTGGGTGAGCAAGAGGGCGAATACTTAAGCCAACAATTGTAAAACATTCCAGGGAATTTCAGAGAATCATAAATAAAAACACAGATGTAATTAATATTTTACGTTCTATAATCTTACTTTTGCTAAGTATTTATGAAATAATTAATATATTGCACCACACTATTATGAAAAATGCAGATCTTTGATTATCATGATCTGAAAAAAGAGATCAAATGCAGAACCAAAACTATCTGAATAGTGTATGGGGACTGATCTATATGCTCAAGTCTGTAAAGATCTATATGCTCAAGTTTCTTTGTCTTAAGCAAAGTGGGGAGAATAGAGAAAACAGGATTGTGTATGATTTTTCTCTAGTTTGATACAGAATACAATTATTTAACAAAAGGGTAAGAGGAAAAGTTGCAGCCAAATTAAGGAATGGCTATGAAAGTAACTCTGATATAAATTCTAGAGAGTAGCTGGGTTAAATCTATTGTAGAAGCCTCCCCCTTTACAAAGTCTTGTAATACAAACAGATTTATTTCAGCATATACTTTTATGGATTTTACATGCACCATCGGATGAGCAAAGTACAGTCCTGGTTCTGAGAAGGAAATTGTAAAGAGAGAATTTAGAGGGAAATTATATGCAATCAAGAAACAGTTGCTGGGTGTGGCACAGTCTCCCAGGGAGTGGTGAACTGACTAATACATGTAATGTGTACAGATAGTCCTTGCTTAACAACCATTCGTTCAGTGACTGAAGTTATGACGGCACTGAATGAATGGTAGTTATGGCCGGTCCTCAAAGTAACAGTTGTTGCAGTGCCCCCATGGTCATGTGATCAAAATTTACAACTGCATTTATGTCTGCAGTGTGCGATTCAACTCCCCCCACCCACCAGCTGCAAAGGGCCAGCAGCTGCCTTGGCTGGGCGTGCCTTGTTAGCAGTGGGAGGAAGAAGACTGTGAAGGTCAGCTGGGTTTCTACATTGCAGTCCCTTCCCTCTGAAATAGTCTCCTTGCAGAAGTTTAGTTAGTGTTCATCCTCCTTTCCTTTAGAAAAGCTGTCAAAACAGTTTTTAAGACAGCATTTAGGATTTGTTTGCTACTATTGATATGAATCTCTGGTGGGCATGTTGGTTTTAATGTTTTTAAATACTTACACACCCATACACACCCATATTATACCAAAAGTCAGGCCCCATATTATATAAATTACATTAAATGTTTGAATTGGTTCTTATTTTCTTCTAAACACTTCCTTACTCGTTTGATGCATGACCTTTGAACATTCCTAAGTACAGTAACATTTTTTCTGGGAAAAAATAATATATATATTGTGGTTGCCCTATGGGGTGTGACTCACTCTCTCTCTCTTCAATCCAAGCAAGACAAGTGTGTGTGTGTATGCGCACACACATACACACAGTATCTGTTGTCAGATGCCAGGATTTGAAAAGTTATGCCCTACCAGCAGCACAAAAGACCTTGAACCAGTAATATATATCTTTATCACCCTACATTTAGATTACTTCAATGTGCTCTACATGAGCTGTCTTTGAAGACCACCTGGAAGGTACAGTTGGTACAGACTACAGCAGCATGACTGCTTGTATGTGTTAACCCCCATGAGCATATTAAACCTGTACTTAAGGCCGTGAATTAGTTGCCCCTGGGCTTCCAAGTGCAATTTAAAGTGCTGGTTTTGACCTAGAAAGCCTACTAGGGCTTGACATGGAGGTATCTTCAGGACTGCCTTCTCCAACCAGTGCTGATCCATGTGGTGTGTTCATGATGAGACAGTCTATGAAGTAACGGTGTGAAAGCCAGGAAGCAATGCTTCTCAGTCATGGCCCTGTTATTATGGAATAGGTTCCTTTTAGAGGTCAGATTATCCTTGATCATGGTAGCCTTCCAAAAGTGTTAAAGACTGACCTTTTCTGGAGGGCCTTTGAGATTGGAGTGTCATCTTGTGTACAACTGTGAAATTGCTGTTACAGGTGTGATTGAAGATTTTTTAAAGAATGATTAATATTATTAGTTTAATTGCTGTATTAGAGGGTTGTTGTGGTTTTATTATTGCTTTAAGGTTATGTAAGAGCCAGTTTAGTGTAGTGGTAAGTACATCAGAGTAGAAACTAGAAGACTGTGAGTTTTAGTCCTGCCTTATGCACAAAGTCAGCTGGGTGACCTTGGACCAGCAACTCTCTCTCAGCCCTAGGGAGAAGGAGGCAATGGCAGACCATTTCTGAAAAACCTTGCCAAGAAAACTGCAGGGATTAGTCCAGGCAGTCATAAGGAATCAAAAACTGTGTATACATTAATATACAGATATTAATATAAAAGATTATTAATGT